ATCCAAAACGTAAAAATATCAATGCATTTTTATCATTTTATCAATAAGCGATTTAGATTTTTAGACCCCTTAACCTACCTCCAAGCCTAAGCCTACCCATTTTATAGCGAATATGCATTTTTATCATTTTATTAATACGCAATTTAGATTTTTAGACCCCTTAACCTACCCCCAAAACTTAACCTACCCATTTTATATAGCAAATATAAAAGGATATAAAACGCAAATGACCGAAATACGCAGGAAAATAACCATTTTAGTAACAATATAGCATTAAAATATTTTTATAGTCGCTAATTCCACTCCTACCTATAAACCTAAACATTTCTGTACAGTATAAGAAAAACATGACAGACAAATAAATGCAATTACAATAATTTATTTATTGTAATTGCTCTGTGAACCGGACCCGTCAAGGCGCGCGCGCATCATTCAAGCACAGAAACACGGCATGTCGCAATCTGTTACGAATGCAGGCGAGAGCCAATGAGCATTTGATTATCCTGCCGTAAAACCTGTCGTTTGAAGCGGCAAAATGTGAATTTGTAAACAGCGCGTCAGTCAGCGCGGGCTTTGCACGGTCTCTGGACTCACTGCTCGGGATGGAGAAGAAGATCGCCGAAAAAAGGCTTGGATGTGGGTCTGTTCTTCGCAGTCCTATGGATTCGGAAGATTTGGATTGCAGTGCACTAATAAAATTGTTTCATTTCGTAATTATGTTGCGTTTTTGGTGTATTTTATAGTTCTATATCAGTCACAGCAATCATGAAGCAAAGGAAGCACATGATAAGTTCACATGAGCACCACACATGAGGAGTTATGTGGAATCACATGGCACGAAACAGGAAACATACATTTAAAAATAAAAAAGACATGAAAATAGAAACATGAATAAAACCTAAAACAGACATGACAGTTGGTGTTTAGTTCTATTACCCATACATTTTAGTAAAAGGGATTTAAAAGAGAAGGCAAGTGGGTAATTGAGACAAAAGCACAATTTACCATATTGAAGACATGTTTAATAATTAAACACTGGGGAGTAGTTAGGGTCTGGCACAATTTGTCTGTCTCCTTTTTTTCTGAAAGTCATCTAACACAAGTTTGTTTTTCAGCTTCTCCAGCTCAGGCAAAATGATCACCTCTGCACTAGTTCCCTGATATGTGTATATTCTATAATCTGTCAACAATTCTACCTCTCCTCATCATGAACATTGTGCTTTGTGTGGCAACTTGCAATAATGCAGAATATGAAGTTAATGGAGAGTGTTGCCCAATGTGTGATCCAGGTAAGTCTGATTGTCCTTCACTCATCACCACAATGCAGGAGAAGTCAGTTACCTAGAGGGGTCATATGATTTCCCCCTACCCCCCCCCCCCCCCCATAAAGTAAAAGATCAATCAAGAATCAAAACAGAATCAATATATTGATTGTTCATAGGACATTTGTATTTTTACCCAGCCCTACTCAAGTCTGATTACTTTTATTATTCAGATTATTTACTCCAGACTTATTTTCTAGGAAAGCGAGTTCATAAACATTGTGATGAGTACACAAGCACAACATGTGATTTATGCCTTGTGATGACCTACACTGATGCTCCTAATGGACTGACAGAATGTCTGCCTTGTTCATTCTGTGATCCAAGTGAGTACAACTGTTTATTTCTAGTAAGTCATGGTGGTTTCCAAATGTATTTTTATTGAATTCTCATTGTCAAATTGACTACAATTGACTAATTTGTTTCCTTTCTTGTCAAAGGTAATGGGCTGAGAGTAAAGAAGGCGTGTACATTAATATCAAATACAGTGTGTGAACCTCTGCCAGGATATTACTGTTTAGAGTTTCTCTCAAACTGTCCAAAGGCGATTAAACATTCAACCTGCTCACCTGAACAATACATCAACCAAACCGGTCAGTCTATTGTAATCTGTCTAAACTATCTAATGTCTGGTATAATATAATTAATTTCATTTAAAGCAGCTTTGAAATTCTAAACTTTTTTATCCACACAAACTGATAGGCTGAGATGACATCTGAGAACAATAACATTGCTTGCATTTATAATAAATAAATATGGAATTTTGCATATTGTTCCAAAGCTTTCCAGCTTTATACTGGATACTCAACACTGACACACAAACAATGGTCAGAAGGTTTTTACCACAGTGTTTGTTTGTGACTGACAGCACAACCATCTGGCAAAGTCTGCTCAATTGTGATTAGGCAGATTTGGCAAATCATCATGTGTGCCAGATGCTACTAAACAATAATGTCACTAATTTAAGAGCTGTGATTTCAGCTAGAACAGAACTGAGCTATCCTAGGTCAAAGGTTATAAGTATCACACCATTTAATTAGAGATATTCAATTAACTGCGTATGTTAACTGTATTTCTGTTTGTGTTTCTGTAGGAACAGAATTCAGTGATACAGTGTGTGATCACTGTCCTGCTGGTTCTTATTCAGATGGTACACTCTGCAGATTACATACAAAGTAATTATCGTTTCATCACTAGTTTTCATATTTATCATCTGATATTTAAACACTGATGTTCCACAGGTTCCAAGAGTAAAGTTTGTTTAATTGTTGTTTTGCAATCTGCATCAACAGATTTTGGGGTTAATTGGAGCCCTTTTTTCACAAGAGATATATTTGTATCAGAGCTTCTTATAAACACAAAGGCAAGTTAAAGTTGAACTTGATCACTACCCCTCTCTCTAACAGGTGTGAATCTCTTGGCAAAACTACAGTCAAGGCAGGAACAGAGACGACTGATGCTGAGTGTAGTAATGGAGAACCTTTTTATTTACTGATTCTGTCTGTGTGTGTAGTGTGTGTGCTGGCGTTTGTTATAGGCTCAACTGTAATTATTGTAAAGAAAAAAAATATCCTGCACTATCATCAAGCAAATCAGGAATAAGGGAATTTCCAAAATTTGCTTGGATTTCTACATTTGTATGTAATTTGTACATTTTATGTAAATAAATAGTTTATAATTTATAATGCCTTCTTATTGTGGTTATTTTCAGCCTCTGCCAGATTTTCTATACCCTGTATATGTGGTTTGAAACTTTTACAATGAGTACCACAAAATGAGTTGAACAAACTCAGTGACCTAGTTTTGGTCAGTGTGGTTTGATTACTGTATGTTTTACCTTTTTACTTTGAGTTTGTGTGCACCCACAACAGGAGATGTTATTCAGTAGACACACAGGTATTTCAATCAGATGGTGTGCTCCCATAAGCTGTGTCTAATGAGTGAATGAGTGACAGATTTCAAAAGTATAGTCTTTAGACCACCTTCTTCTTTGCTGTGTACATTTGACCCTTAGTTTAAACTGATTTAGTAGTTATTTGATCATTTTAACTTTACTTTTCCAAAACCTTTAACTGTCCATATCGTTTTCATGTTATTTTATTAATATTATATTATATTTTAATGCAAATGAACAAGACTTAAATCTTCTTCATTATTTTCAACCATGGAATTCTTACAACTCAAAAAGAAGCAATCTGCACATCATACTGAAAGCAAGTACACTGCTAGTATTCAAGGGATATAATGTAAGTAAATTACAATTTAAATGGTTGTTAAAATGAAATTTGCACTGTTACACTTAAAATGTAATTTGCATAGAACTTGAAATAGAACTTGAAAAATTCAAGTAAACAGTTTGCTGCCTATTTTATGCTGCCTTCACATGCTATCGGAAACTTCCTACTTTCCACTTCTGAAGTTGTAATTACGAGTTTAGTCACGTTCAAGTGCTTGGTTGTCGTAAAGAACAGGATCCTTGGTGGAAGGCCCAATCATGAGTTCATTCTTGTCATTCTTTCTTGTTTCTTGAGGAAATCTTATTAAAGCCAAAAGGTATATAAGATATTTAGTCAATACCCAACATGTTTTGAATAACATGTAGCATCCCATTCATTGGTAACCATATAAACATCAAGATATTTAGCTGGCTTACAATTCCTAAATTTCGGTCAAATAAATGCTCTTTTCGCTGTGTTCAACACATACAATATGCATCAAATGGTTATTTATTTACGTAAACATGACTGTAAGAGCAGGAGAAATCAATGTCAATGATGTGGGAAAAACAAATAAAACTTTACTACAGCTATGTTACTCTCCATGTTTCATTTGATAGAGATTCCCAGTTTTAAATACGACTTGAGAGGCAGTTCATGTCCAATTTCCGACTAGGAAACTCGTATTTATGATCATTCCGATAGCATGTGAAGGCAGCTCTGCGTCACACACTCTGCGTCGCACTCAAAATACAAAGCGTCATAACCAAGCTGTCATAAGCACTGTTTGAAACCACATACTTCTATACTTCCCATACTTATATAATAGGCAAAAAACAGTAGGCGAACAAATAAGTATGTCCAAATCCTTAGTAGAAAAGTACTAAGAGTACTTCAAGAGTATAACCAAGAATTACCTGGGTGGTCTACTAATTCTCGCGAGATTCGCAAGAAGTCAAAATAGAGAACTCTGGGTTCATGCATTATCACAGATACACGGCTCTCTATATGCACACTGTAGGTACACAGAACACACACAGAGAATGCGCTAATACCGAATTGAGGTTTGCTGCACATTTTCTTGCGCTTGAATGCTTTAAAATGGATTGAATGTTTACACTGGCAAGGCAGAAAATCACATGCAAATGGTAAACTTTCATGAAGACACAGCGGTGGCCCGATCAGGCCAGTGACAAATCCGTCAACTGTCCCGAGCGTCTTTGACGATGGCCCCAGGAAAAAAATGGAAAATATTTGGAACTCAATTGAATATCACACCAATTTTGTGATTGGCTGTGGTGTGGGGCCAGGGTGGACTGAGCTTTTAATTGGGTGGTCCAGGCCCAGGCTATATAACACCTTAACCACGCCAAAAAAAACGCTGAAGATCTATACTGGGCTTAACAGGTTCTTTATACGTTAGCGGTGCTATATAGCACCTCAGCCACCCCAAAGAACTGCTGAAGTGCCAATTTTTGTGTGTGTGTGTGTGTGTAGTGTTATAATAATCTAAACAGTCCTGAGCTAGATTAAGCTTTAATCTATGCAAACCAAACTGTCATTTTGATGTAATAATAGGATTTAGTTCATTAATTAATTTTTATTTATTTATTTTTGAATTCACTAATAAAAAGATTTTATCATTAGCTAGCTCCACATTGGAGAGCTGCTTAATAACAGAACATCAAGTTGTAATTCTAACCGAAAGCGACACTGACACTGTTTTTTTCATGTTTAATACTGTAAAGCTGCTTGCTTTAGGTGATATGAGATCAAACGACTACTTGACATCAGATATATTTGTTGATCGTATTTTTATTGTTGATGCTGTGAATAATGTCAACTAATCATTTCAGCCCTAATGTTAAGCCAGTCCCATTGACCCCTGATGTCACTAGACCGCATCACATATATTGAATGGTTGTGTTCTTAATATTTTCATCAGAACATCAACTTTTATGAAATTTTTTCTGATAGACTAGTTTTGAGGTGATGTGTGTTAGTCTTTGGATAATGGTCTGTTAATTGATTTAGTTATAAAATATTGTTGTTATTTTGAAATTATATGTTAAAGTGAGATGGGGAATGGCATGTTTTTGCTGGTGCATTTACCATCTACTGTAACTAAACTCGTATTGTAAAGGCGGTCAAACAGGCTTTTGCCTGCAGTACAAATTTTCGTCACCTTGAAATTGTAAGGTTCTTGTCACACCCCTGGACTGTCTGTGTGTGTGTGTTTTGCTCCCCATGTGCTCTCCGTGACCCAGTTTCTGTCTCCCATGTGTGATTGTATGATTTGGTTCAGGTGTGTCTCATCTATTATCCCTCATTTAGTTCTGTATTTAAAGTGTTGTCTGTTCCTTGGTTCCTTTGTCCAATGTTAAACGTAATTCCTATGTGCTACGTGTGTGTTCCTGCCTGCCCTGTGTTACCCCTTGTTGTGGATTAATAAAGACTGTTCTTCGTGAATTCTTCGATGTCTCTGTGCTCCTTCGCTCCTACGCAGTAGCAACCGTGACAGTTCTATCAGACATTTTTATAAAAATTGAGTTATTCACATATTCTTATTCTGTGACAACTTGTTTACATTATGTGTGTGTGTTTTTTTAAGTTGTGCACATTTTGGGACTTTTTATTTTTTGTTTAAATCTGTCTACAATGGAATGCAAAACTTTGAAGCTCAGTATCTCAAAATTGCTGAGAATGCACCCGGTGAACCACTTTATAGCCTAATTCCAAGGTGGCGATTTCATCCGACTACACTACGTGTTTGGGCCTGTTGACACTTGGTCACTTCATGCGTTTTCTCTGATCGGATAGCTATCCGATCCTGAAAGGACTCCAGGGCTGAGTTTGTTGAAACCTTCTTAACGCTACGTCGTTGTTAAGTTGTACCGTAAACTGTACCTTATCGTTAATACGTGTTTCCCGAAACATTCTCAGTTAAGTATACCTTCGTCATACTTTAAGTTTGGTCTGGATTAGCTATACCTTAACACTTTTGACAGTTCACAGTTCTTTACATCTCATTCTATACAAATATAATAGTACGTAGCAAAATCAAAGACGACGCCATCCGCGGAGCCATATAGTGTATTTGTGTACTAAAACTTTAGAAAAAAAAAAATAATAAAAATAATAATAATTTTTAAAAATCAGGAAATTCAGCAGATTTTACATCTTGTTGGTCCGCCTTTGTAGAGACAAATTCAGCTGCTGGCGGCTCTTCTCGTTCTCTCTTTTCTCCGCAATAGTAGGCCTAGCTGTTGATTATATAATATGCTTCTCCTGTTGCGTTTTTATTAAGTAGGTCATCCAATAACAGAAATTAGTGATTTGCATCAATATGTGATGTGGCTGCTGAGCAATCAACCCTGGTTGTGGAGTAAATGAAGACACTATGTAAAATATATTATGATAATATAAATGATCCATTCAAAAGCCAGTGAAGGCATACTGCCAGTTAGTGATATAAGCTATGTTTGGGCATGAGGTTGCAGGTTCGAAATTATATAAAATATCCAGCGTTGGATTTAGTTTGCAATTTGGATTATTTTTTAAGATCCCTTGAGTCTTGATAAATGCAATTTCAGCTCTTTCTGAAGTGCTTATTGTTGGAAAGCACTCTTACCACAATGTTTTACATTGCTTCACAATGTAGGCCCAAGGTGTTATTATTTTCTGTTAAAAGCTGTTAAATTATTAAGTAGGTTTTTTTCCCTTGTATTTTATGTGGTATATATCATATATTTTTACATATATAACATGCTTCACATAACGCAGTGAAGCAGCCCGTGCATAGAATAAATAATCGATTCTCAAGCCATTGATATCAACCAATTCAGCACCACCGCCATGGACAGCACCTAGTAACGTCGCATGTAAGAAGGTATATCTTAAAGGGTCATGAAACCCCAGACTACTTTTTCTAAGATTTTAGCAGATGTGTTTGTGTTGCACATCATAGAAGACAATGTTAGCATCCAACTGTTGGAGAAAAGTGGTTAATTTTAAGCTTTTTTTGCGCTATTTTCATCTTCTGGGTTTAAAATCTACATCGTGTTGACGTCACAATTTGTGACGTGGCAATGGACTATAGTACATCGATGACGCGTCGGTGTCTCACCGTGACCCAGTTTCTGTCTCCCATGTGTGATTGTATGATTTGGGTCAGGCGTGTCTCATCTATTATCCCTCGTTTAGTTCTGTATTTAAAGTGTTGTCTGTTCCTTGGTTCCTTTGTCCAGTGTTAAACGTCATTCCTATGTGTGCGTTCCTGCCTGCCCTGTGTTACCCCTTGTTGTGGTTTAATAAAGACTGTTCTTCGTGAATTCTCCGACGTCTCCGCGCTCCTTCACTCCTACGCAGTAGCAAGCTCCCTCCTCTCTGCCGTGGCTCGTCAGTCCACCAGCTCCGCCGGGCTCCCTCGTCCCTCCAGCTCCACCTTGGTCAG